CGCGCAGCACAGCGGACCGCGGCGCGCAGCATGGGGACTGCGCATGCGTGCCGGGGGCGGGGGTGGGTGGGAGGTGTCGCGTCCCGCCCACGACACGGGGGGGGCGGAGTCAGGGAGGTAAGGGAGCGAGGTCAAAGAACAAAGCACCGCCCGGCGCACACGTGCTGGGATTTTGGCCACGCCTCCAGGGACCGTCTGCGAAGTACGCGGCGCGGGAGGCGGAGCCCAGCGGCTCCAGGGGCGGGGCCCCCGACTGAGCTTGGTCAGCTGACCGCGGCGGGGGACTAAACCCTGGAACGCGGTTTGCCGAGGGTCTTGGCGCGGTGAGCATGCTGGGTGCTAGTGGGAGACCCACTAGGGGTCGAGGGGGTCGGGGCTGCTGGCGCCTTCCACCACGTCTTTCCTGTACCTCCTGCACTGTCCGGCGACCCAAGTCCCCTCCCGAGGCGCGAGATCGTGGGGCGCCTTGGCCGGGGTCGGAGAGCCCTCGGGGTCCCGGGTGGGGGCGGCCCGCACGGCCTTCCGGGCCGGCCTGTCCAGGGCTTGGGACCCGGGTCCTCCGTGCACCGGCCGGTCCCAGACCACGAGCCCCTCCCTGGTCTTCCGCGGGCTTTGTTTTCTTCCGGCCTCGCCGCGCCGGCCCCGCGGCTGCCCTGTCATTACCCGTCCCCGAGGGCGGCCCGCGCCGGGCTGAGTCACCGGAGCGAAGGCCTGGGAGGGTGGGTGCCCCCGCCCGGACGTGCCCCGGCTCTGCAAGGAGCGACCCCCTGATGACCGGCTCCAGTGCCAGGCTTCGAGCAGGCTTCCCAGTGTGTGCAGAGGGTGGGGCCTGCCCGACGCGGCGGGCACGGCCTGCGTCCGTCCGGGGTCCCGGCCAGTCAGCACCTAGCTGAAGGCCGCTGTGTGTTCGGGACCCTGGAGGGCCCCGGCCGTCCCTGAATCTCTGGAGTGGCCTGTAATCATTTAGGTAGGTGATCTCATGTAACTGCAGTCAAGCCTTCGAGGTGAGGAGCAGAACGCCGAGGCTTCCTGACCTGCTCAGAGCACCAGACGAACTGGCTACAGGCTGGTTAGCTTGTCTCCTCAGTCCTAGGCCCCGTGAATTTACGAGTTGCCTTGTCTTCCCTTCTCTTTTCCTCTCCCTTCTTTTTTCCTTTGGTTGGTTTGCCTTTTTTTCTTTCTCTCTTTGCTTCCCTCTTGCTTCATCTGTTCTGCCCTCCATCTTTTTGTTCGTTGTAAGGCTTGAACTGAGCACCTGGGCACTGTCCCTGAGCCTCTCTGTGTTCAAGGCTAGCACTCTACTACTTGAGCCACAGCACCAGGTAGGGTTTTTGAGTGGTTGATTGGAGGTAAGAGTCTCACAGGGACTTTTCTGCCTGGATTGGCTTCCAGCCGTGATCTTTAGATCTCAGCCTCCTGAGTAGCTAGGATTACAGGTGTGAGCCACTGGCCTCCAGTTCCTCCAACATTTTCTAAACCTTTATTGTGCAGCTGATGTACCTAGAGCCCTGCGATTGGAAGTGTACAACAAGGGGAAGAGGGAGAGGAGAAGAGCATGTTTAAAGAGCAGTGGAAGCTGAGGTCTTTGGTAGCTTTCTCCAGGTGTAGGACCCAGAGGAGGGGAGGGGGCAGCAGGTTCTGTCCAGCTGACGCTTATAAGATCCCTGGGAGAGGGGAAATTAGAACTGGGTCATAGTATCTTTTTACCAGGCCTAGACATGACTTTGAAGATCTGGAACAGGAGATCAGGTTAGGAAGGCACTCAAGGAATTTGGACTTGAGCCAGTTGATCCAGGTGGTCTGGTCGTGTGGGAAGCAGTTCCTTGGCTTCACTTGGAGTCAAGAAGAGGAGCTGGATGTGGCCAGGGAGGCACTGGCCACCCAAAATTCTTTAAGAGGCCAGGAGAACTGCTTAAACTTAGAATCCCTGTCTGTTTCCTTCCCTCGCTAACCTGACAAGGAAGGGGTGAATGATTGACCATCCTTTGATAGTCAAGGTATTAGCTCTCATCTTCAAAACAGTCACTACCATGTAGGTCAGACACTGTGCTAAGAGCTTTATTTATTTATTTTTTAAGTGCCTATCCTGGGGTTTGAACTCAGGGTCTGGAAACTGTCCCCAAGAGCTTTTTTTTTTTTCTTTCAAGGCTAGCACTTTACCAACAGAACCATAGCTCACTTCCTGCCTTTTGGTGGTTAATTGGAGATAAGAGTCTCAAGGACTTTCCTGCCCAGGCTGGCTCCAAACCTTGATCCTCAGATCTCAGCCCCTTGAGTAGCTAGGATTATAGAGCCACGAGCGCCCAGCTAAGAGCTTTATTATATGTATTTCCCTAGGAAGAAGTATCATTAGTTCCCTTTTATTGACAGACTCAGGCAGGCCATCTTCCTTGCCCAAGGCGACCCAGCCTCAAATGGGGACAGTGTTCTTCACCTTGCTGGTGCTCCATGACAGGGACAGTGCATGGACACGTGAAGACCTGCAGTGGCTTGCCCAGAGTCTCGGAGTAGGAGGTTCAATTAGGGGGTGGCTGCAGAACAACAAAGGGCTTGATGAACTATGCTTCTACCTGGGTTGTCTGCAAATTGAGGTAGCTTTGAGGGTGCACGCCCCATACCAGCCCCACACCAGCTGTGCTGACAGTCATCCGGGGTTCCAGGAGGAGCTGGGTGTGGCCTAAGTTGTCCAGGAAGGGCCTTTGAATGCCCTGTGCTGAGCCCTGGAGATTCTGCAGTGAGCTGGGCATACAGTGAGTGACCTGAGGTGCCCAGCTCCAGGGCCCCCGTGCCTCACGTGAGGGCTGAGCACCTCTCAGCTCCCTATCCCTTCAAAGCAACCAGGAAGCCTCCTCTCTCTCCCTCAAGACTGCCGCTTCAGCACTTCCATGGCTCCAGCCAGGGCATGGCTTTGTGAGAGGCTCAGCCCTCCTCCCCACCCCCAGGCACAAGTGGGGAACTAAGTGGCTGGAGCAAGACCTCGCCTGACTCCGGAAAACCCCTCTTAGTGCAGGGAGTAAAGGGGAAGCCAGCTTTGTGCTTGGCCAGAAGCTAGGCAGTCATGCCAGACCCAGGGAGGCTCTGCACCCCAGTGACAGAAGCACCTAAGGCCGTGGGCATGGCAGCTCTGTGTGTGTGTGTGGCGGCTCTGTGTGTATGTGGGGGGGGAGTGGGGGGGATTTGCAGCTCCCTCCTGGGCGTGACTTTGGCTTCCTGGCGTGGTCCTAGCAGATCATTTCCCTGCTCTAGTCTCAGGTTCCTCTGGCATCTCTCTAGAGTCTCTCTTCACAGCATCCAGGGGAGGATGGTGTATGTGAATGCATTCCAGGGGCTTGGTGCAGAGCTGGGCAGGGGGTAGCGATTCTCAGGAACTGCGATGGCACTAGCCTAGCTCCGTGTCCTCAACTCTAGGCCGTCACTCAGGCAGTGACACTGCCGTCCTCCGACTAGTATAAGAGGAGCCATCCTCTGACTAGGAAGGTGGTTCTGGACTCTTTGCTAAAGACATTCCACCTGCTTTGTGAGCTCTTGAAGGAATACTGGATCCAGAATCTGAACTAGGCGGCCCTGGGAATCATCGCCCTTCATTCTGACTTAACTGCCGGGAAGTCCTCCTTCCAGTGAGGGCCTCCCAGAGTAACTCAACACAAACAGCAACCATAAAATGGAATCAAGCCAGACACTCAGGATTTAGAACAAAAGATGACTTTTGACACCCAAGCACTGGTGACTCACACCTGTTCATCCTAACTATCCAGGAGGCTGAGATCTGAGGATCACAGTTTGAAGCCAGCCCAAGCAGGAAGGACTGTGAGACTCCTATCAACAGTTAACCTCCAAAAGCCAGAAGTGGAGCTGTGGCTCAAGTGTTAGAGCACTAGCCTTGAGCACAAAAGCCCAGGGACAGTGCCCAGGCCCTGAGTTCAAGTTCTAGGACTGGTACATGCACACACACACACACACACACACACGATGACTTTGAGGGCTAATCCCATTATTCACTTAACTCACCCAGCAGCTACGTGAGGGATGGTTCAGATGACCAGGCCCAGGCACTGAGAGGCTGAATGCTGGCCCAAAGTCAAGCAGTAACCAGTGGGAAAGCTGAATGTCCCTGACCCTACGGTTGGCACAGTGCTCATTTGGTCTGTGTATCTGGAAGCTGATTGGGTCTCTGTGGGCAAGGACTATGACTTTCTCCTTGTCCAGTCCAGTAGCCAGGCCAGGGCCAGGTGATCAGGCTGAGCTGAGCTCAGGTCAGAATGACTGTGGGTAAGAGCTGGACCTCCTAAAGCTGAAGGCCTCCTTTCTTTCTCTCTGTAGAAGGAACCCTCACCTGGCTTGGTACACCAGCACCTCCCTCCCACACGGTCCTGGGCTGGGAAGCTCCCTCTGCAGCCATGGTCTGGAAGAAACTGGGGCCCGGCAACTTCTCCAGATGTCCCAATGGCTCTAGCCTGTGGATCTGGGATGTATTTGGCGAATGTGCCCAGGATGGCTGGGATCAGGCCAGTGTGTTCCTGGGCTTGGTCTCCATCCTCTGTTTTGCTGCCTCTACTTTCCCGTGAGTATCCCTGGGTGGCAGGAGCAGGGAGGGCAGCAGGGTGGTGGCAGAGGCTCCAGGAGGGGCCACATGACTGGTCATAGGCTCCAGGCCAGTGGCCTTCCTCCTCCCCAGCCCCCAGCTAGAAGTCCCTGACTTCCGGCCCACTCAAGGAGGGGCTGTGTGGAGCTCAGCACAGGCTAGACCTCAGGCTAGGCAGTCTGGTATGGAAATCATAACATCTGCTACAGTCAAGTAAGTGCCCACTATGTCCCTGGCTTGGGACTACATGCCAGGCATACTTGTACCTTCTTGGTTCCTCACCTCAGCCACCCTGAGAAACAGAGCCGGTTCCTTTCCCTGCTTGGCAGATGAGACTGAAATCCAGAGAGGTTAAATAACTTGCTCTGGCAGGGCGCTGATGGCTCACACCTGTCATCCTAGCTACTCAGGAGGCTGAGATCTGAGGATCGCAGTTCAAAGCTAGTCCAGATAGGAGAGTCCATGAGACTCGTATTTCGAATTAACCAAGAAAAAACGAAGTAGAGCTGTGGCTCAAAGTGTAAGGCACTAACCTTAAGTGGAAAATGCTCCCAGGCCCTGAGTTCAAGCCCCATGACCAACAAAAGGAAACCTTGCTGTGGCTTGCATGGGCTGTAAGGAGGTGGAGGAATGAGAGAGCAGATGTGTCAAACATGGCTTCCGTTCTCAGAAAGGGAGGATAGTTCAGGGCTGGAGGCCAGTGGATATGAAACAATGTGGCCACTGCAGTGTGGCGCACAGCGTCTGCACTCAGCTCCGCCACCTACGGGCTGTCACTTCACTGCTTAGTGCCTCAGTTTCCTCATCTGTAAATACTGCTCCATCCAGGCTGCTGTGAGGAGAGCAGGAAGGAAGGGGTAAAAAGAACCTGGTTTTGCATTATGTGTGTAAAATACGGTCACAAAGGCCCTGGAGCTATGAGCTGGGGCCCAGACCTCCCCAGCACGTGTGTGAGAGGGTGCAGCCACTGTGTCACTGGACCAGACCGCCGTGTGTGTGGGTGTGTGGGTGTGTGGGTGTGTGGGTGTGTGTGTGTAGGTGTGGGTGTATGAGAGAGAGAGAGAGAGAGATCAGCCCGTCACCTAGTCTGTTTTCCATTGTTCAGAGTGTGTTCCAAGGCTGCTCAGTGGGAGAAACCGTCCATAGCAAGCAGGAGGTCCTGGATTCACTCTTCTTCTACGATCCTCTCCAAAAACAACCACTGAGTGTTCTTTGTCTTGAGAGATAAGGATAAGGGTTTAATCTTGGACTTGGCCCTTGGCTTAGGTTTTCACTTCTCTGGAGTATACAATATCTAGATCTAGAGGGTGAATTGAGAGATAATTTACTGAACCCATGCTGTTCGACTTGGTGGTTTTAGTTTAACTACTGTTGTGTAGTTGTCACTACAGTTAATTTTAGAACACTGTAATTGTCCCACAAAGAAACCTAGATACTGGTTCATGCCTATAATCCTAGATACTCAGGAGGCCCTCTAGACTCATCTCCAAAGAACCACCAGAAAACCAAAGTGATAGACCTCTACATTTGAGTAAAAGGATTCAGGGACAGTGCCCAGGCCCTGAGTTCAAGCCCCAGGCAAAAAAAAGAAAAAAAAAAACCTGTGCTGTGATCAGTACCTCTAAATCTTGCAGTCCCTGGCAGCCGCCCATCTGTTTTCTCTGTTTATAAATTGGCCTATCCAGGAAATCATGATTCTTATAAATGGAATGTGTGGCTTCTTTTACTTAATATAATAAGATTCATAGCAGGCTAGGCACTTGTGTCTCATACCTATAATCCTAGCATTCAGGAGGCTGAGATCTGAGGATTATACTTTGAAGCTATTCTGAGACTTGGAAGCCCCTGAGACTCTTATTTCCAATTAACCACCAAAAAAAAGCTAGAAGTGGAACTGTGGGTTAAGTGTCTTGAGCAAGAAGCTTAGGGACAGTACAGGGGTCTTGAGTTCAAGGCCCAGGACTAACACACACGCACACACACACACAGATTCATACATGTTGCAGTATGTGGTCGGATGCATCTAGAGTCCCCAACTACTTAGGCAACTGAGGCAGGAGTTTGAGTCCAGCCTGGACAATAGTGAGACCCTGTCTCAAAAACACATTTCCTCCATACTGTAGTACATATCAGTGCTTCAGTCCTTCCTATGGCTGAATAACGTTCTATTCTGTGTGTATACCATATTGAATCTTGTTTAACCATTTATCTATTGACATGTGGGTTGCTTCTTTTTTATGTTATGTGTACATTCATACACATGTGTTGGCGGAGGCTTAGGTTTTCACTTCTCTGGAGTATATATCTACATCTAGAGGGTAAATTGGTTAAATGGGAATTGTTTATTTATTTATGTATTGCCAGTCCTGGGGCTCGAACTCAGGGCCTGGGCCCTGTCCCTGAGCCTCTTTTGCTCAAGGCTAGTGCTGTACCACTGGAGCCATTGATCCACTTTGGCTTTTCTTCTGGTCTGTTGGAGGTAAGAGTCTCATGGACTTTCTTGCACAGGCTGGCTTTGAGCCTTGAACCTCAGATCTCAGCCTCCTGCACAATTAAGATTCAGGTGTGAGCCATTGGAGCCCGGCTAAGACAATCTTTTTTTTGATCCAGTCGTGGGGCCTGAACTCTGAGCCTGGGTGCTGTCCCTCAGCTCTTCAGCTCAAGGCTAGCACTCTACCACTTGAGCCACAGCTCCACTTCTGGCTTTTTTTTTTCTGCGTATGTGGTGCTGAGGAATTGAACCCAGGGCCTCATGCATGCAAGGCAAGCACTCTACCACTGAGCCACCTTCCCAGCCCTGAGACAATCTTTTCAACACATGGTGCCTGGCAGTAGCTCTCCACATGCAGAGAGCTTGGGCCCACAACTCACAGCTAACACCTAAGTATGAGTTATACTGTGAGGCTCTTACAAGAAAAGATAATCAGCAAAACCCAGACTGAAAGTAGGGCTCAAGTGGTAGACTGCCTGCTAAGCAAGCTCAAGGCTGTGAGTTCAAGTCCCAGAACTGGCCCACAAAAAGGAAGAAAATTAAGAGAACCTACAAAATAACAGAAAAGATTCTGCAAGTCATATAGCTCTAAGAATGTGTCTAGAATACACAAAGAGCTGTCATGACTCAACAATAAAAAAAAATTCCAAATGAAAGTGGACAGAAAGGAATACACATGGCCATAAGCCCATGAAACGCTGCTCAACTTCATGATTCACAGGAAAAGGGAAATTGCAAATCAAAACCACAAGAAGATGCCTTTCACACCCAAGAGAATGGCTATTTAAAAAAAGACAACTAACAGCAAGTTTTGGAGGGGACCAGGAGAAATGTGGCTTGTACACTGCTAGAGGATGGTAAAATGAAATGGCTACCTGGGCACTGGTGGCTCACTTCTGTAATCCTAGCTACTCGGGAGGCTAAGATCTGAGGATCACAGGTCGAAGCCAGCCTGGGCAGGAAAGTCTGTGAGACTCTTATCTCCAATAAACCACTAGGAAACCGCAAGTGGTGCTGTGGCTCAAATGGTAGAGCGCTCGCCTTGAGCTGAGGGACAGCGCCCAAGCCCAGAGTTCAAGCCCCACGACTGACCAAAAAAAATAAATAAAATATTTTTTTGTTGGTCTTGGGGCTTAAACTAGGGCCTGGGCACTGTCCCAGACCTTTTTCATGAACTTTCCTGCTCAGGATGGCTTTGAACCAGCTGCAAGGGCAGCTGTCTACCCACTCCTCCCTAGGACTCGGGGTCCCCTGTGTGGGACAGGGTCGCCTCTTGCAGTTAGGAGGCCAGTCAAGTCAGATCATCTTAGAGGAGCCTGACCATGGTCTGTGGGTAAGCCTCACCCAGGGCCTGTGACATGCCAGGCCACTGCAGGTCACTGAGTTCAGAAGGTACAGGGTTGCTGTGTATACAGAGAGGAAGAAGATACTTGGAGAGCCCAGATGGAGAAAGGCCCATGGGAGGAGCTGGCTCCTGGGGTGTGGGAGGTGAGGAAAGGTGTCTGGGCCGAGGAAGGGACAGCAGGCCTGGGCAGGGGTGGGTGGACTTTGGGGCATTGGAGGACCGGCATCTGAAGACACTGCTTTGAGGGGAAGCCTTGCATGGAGGCTGAGAAGCAGGTGCATCGGGGTTGGACACACAAGTGGAGGGGGACAGTTGTGCAAAGGGCCTGGGTGATGCATAGTGCTCTTGGTTTTAGGTTTGGGTGGTGGGTTGGCCTTTGGTCTCCCCCGCTCATCCCCTACCTTCCCCTTCTCCCTCCCTCTCCCCCCCCCCCGCCCTGTCTTTAGTGCTTGGGACTGAACACAGGCCTCATACTCCAACCACATGCTTTACCACTGTGCTACAACCTGGACCCCCCTCCCTGCTTTTTAAATCTTCCCTTCCCTTTTCCTCATCCTAGCAGAGTTTTGCCATAGAGCCCAGGCTGGCCTTGAACTCAGGATCTTCCAGCCTCAGCCTTCTGAGTGCTGTGTGTACTATCACACCCAATTCCATGACTGTTTTTTTTTTTTCCTTCAGTACTGGGGTTTGAACTCAAGGTCTTGTGCTTGCTAGACAGGTGCTCCACCTCTGAGCTTTGCCTGCAGCTGTTCCCTTCGTTTTGTGTTGGTGATTTTTGAGATGAGATCTTGTTCCTTGCTTAGGCCTGGGCCTACTTTAGGCTTCCCATCATTGCCGGGAGTACAGGTACACTCCCCTGTGCACAGCTGTAGTTGGGAGGTGGGGGGGGGGTCTCATGAACTTTCCTACCTGGGCTGGCCTTGGGCTTGAGAGCCTGTTGCTCTCTGTCATGGGGCTTGAACTCAGGGCCTGGGCGCTGTCTCTGAGCTCTTTTGCTAAAGGCTAGTGCTCTACGACTTGAGCTACAGCTCCACTTTCAGATTTTTGGTGGTTAAGTGATGAGTCTCATGGATTTTCCTGACCAGGCTGACTTTGAACCTCAATCCTCAGACCTCAGCCTCCTGAGTAGCTAGGATTACAGGCGTGAACCACTGTGTCCTGACTGCCTCATGACTCTGCCCTCATCTCCTGCCCGGAAGCTGACCAGGCTGTGGCTGGGCCTTTCTCCTCACCAGTGGCCTTGTCAGCTGTAGCAGGGCCAGGCCTCACAGTCACTGCTGCCACCACCCCTACCCCAACTCCTGAGAACAGGAAGCCAGGAAACTTGATACAAAACTTCAGGACTCTCTGTCTACCCACATCTGAGCTATGCTGTGGGTCTCTGGAAAGATGCACAGCCATAGTGCCCCCTGGATAGAAGGGGCACAGCAAGGCTGGAGAGTCTTCACGGGTAATGGGCTCCCAGATCATCCGCTGTCCATTATGGCACCTGTTTTATGGTTCTCCTCGGAGGAAGGTTCCCTTGTTGGGGGTGGCTTCACAGCCCCCAGACTCTGCTGTTCACTCTCTCCCTCTCCCACAGTCAGTACATCAAGGCCTGCAAGACTGGCAACATGGACCAGGCCCTGTCCCTGTGGTTCCTCCTGGGCTGGATTGGTGGAGACTCCTGCAACCTCATTGGCTCCTTCCTTGCGAACCAGCTGCCCCTGCAGGTGAGCAGCTCCCCGGGCTTAGGGGTAGTGGGGAGATGCTGCAGGCCAGTGGACAGCCATAACAGGCCTTCGAGGCAGCCTATAGGAGACACTAGACTCCAGATCCCTCACCTGTCCTTCCGTCTGCTGACCCCACACTTCCAGAGCCTTCTGCCTGCCACACTGTGTGACACTAGGCAAATCACTATCCCCTGTCCAGCCTGTTTCTCCCCTATAGCATGAGCATCAGCCCATTGTGTTCTTCGGCTTCGAAGGGGGCTTGAACGTACCTTTTCTGGAGATGGGGCCCTGGAGGAGGAAATGAAATGAGTCTTTCCCTCCGATCCCCAGTGGCCTTGTTCTCCTGTAACCAGGCAGAGCTAGGAGTCAGCCAGGAAGGCCCTGTCCCCCGTGAGGTGGAAAGTCCTGCCTGCTCGTGTGTTAGGCTACCGGAGCCATCACGGAGCCCATCATGGACCCATTTCATCCTGACTGGTAGCGGTAGATGCAGATGCCTTGGCGCCTTCCCGGGCTGGACGCCTTGTCAGGCCACTTGTCCTGCCAGCTAGGAAGCGGGACCCGTCCACGCCAGGGGAGAAGCCATTCAGCGTGTGCAAGCACAGGTGGTGCAGGCCACTGGGCTGGTCAGCCAGGATGTGGTCAGTACGCGTGGTCAGGAGTGTGGTCAGGGGATGTGGTCAGGACATGTGGTCAGGACGCGTGGTCAGGTTGTGGTCAGGACGTGGTCAGGATGTGTGGTCAGGATGCGTGGTCAGGACGCGTGGTCAGGGGATGTGGTCAGGATGTGTGGTCAGGACACGTGGTAAGGACGCGTGGTCAGGACGTGTGGTCAGGGTGTGGTCAGGATGCGTGGTCAGGATGCATGTCAGGACGTGTGGTCGGGACGCGTGGTCAGGACGTGTGGTCAGGACGCGTGGTCAGGATGTGGTCAGGACGTGTGGTTAGGATGTGGTCAGGATGTGGTCAGGATGCGTGGTCAGGACGCGTGGTCAGGACGTGGTCAGGACGTGTGGTCAGGATGTGTGGTCAGGATGTGTGGTCAGGACGTGGTCAGGTTGTGGTCAGGACACGTGGTCAGGACGTGTGGTCAGTATGCGTGGTCAGAACGTGGTCAGGTTGTGGTCAGTATGTGTGGTCAGGACGTGGTCAGGTTGTGGTCAGTATGTGTGGTCAGGACGCGTGGTCAGGATGTGTGGTCAGGACATGGTCAGGATGTGTGGTCAGGACGTGGTCAGGTTGTGGTCAGTATGTGTGGTCAGTATGTGTGGTCAGGATGTGTGGTCAGGACGTGGTCAGGTTACGCGTGGTCAGGATGTGTGGTCAGGACATGGTCAGGATGTGTGGTCAGGACGTGGTCAGGTTGTGGTCAGTATGTGTGGTCAGTATGTGTGGTCAGGATGTGTGGTCAGGACGTGGTCAGGTTGTGGTCAGTATGTGTGGTCAGGACGTGTGGTCATTATGCGTGGTCAGGACGTGGTCAGGTTGTGGTCAGTATGTGTGGTCAGGACGCGTGGTCAGGACATGTGGTCAGGATGCATGGTCAGGATGTGGTCAGTATGCGTGGTCAGGACGCAGGGTCAGGACGTGGTCAGGATGTGGTCAGGATGTGTGGTCAGGACGCAGGGTCAGGACGTGGTCAGGATGTGGTCAGGACGCGTGGTCAGGACGTGTGGTCAGGATGCGTGGTCAGGACGCGTGGTCAGAACATGTGGTCAGGACGCTTGGTCAGGATGTGGTCAGGACGCGTGGTCAGGACGCATGGTCAGGACGCGTGGTCAGGATGCACAGTCAGAACTGGTCAGGACGTGTGGTCAGGATGCGTGGTCAGGACGTGGTCAGGACGTGTGGTCAGGATGCGTGGTCAGGACGCGTGGTCAGGACATGTGGTCAGGACGCGTGGTCAGGACGTGTGGTCAGGACATGTGGTCAGGACGTGTGGTCAGGACGCGTGGTCAGGACGTGTGGTCCTGGACTAGGCCAGGGACAGCAGCCAGCACCCAGGTGTCTTTTTTTTTTTCTTTTTTGTCGGTCGTAGGGCTTGAACTCTGGGCCTGGGCGCTGTCCCTCAGCTCTTCAGCTCAAGGCTAGTGCTCTACCACTTGAGCCACAGCGCCACTTCCAGCTTTTTCTGTTTGTGTTGTGCTGAGGAGTGGAACCCAGGACCTTACGCATGCAAGGCAAGCGCTCTTCCACTGAGCCACCTTCCCAGCCCAGGCCTCTTTTTCTTGCAGACCTACACGGCTGTGTATTACGTCCTGGCCGATCTGGTGATGTTGACCTTGTACTTCCATTACAAGTTCAAGAAACGCCCCTCGCTGTGTGAGTAGGGGGCCGCCCTGGGTGGGACTCTCTGCTGGCAGTTGGGGCGAGGGGAGCCTAAATCTTGGGAGGAAGCATGTTTCCCACCTGGGGGGTAAACCAAACCTTGGGCCTTGAGGGCAGTGAGTACATCCCAGTTCAGACCACAAGGGGGCTCCACTCACTACGCTCTCCTCCTCTGTGCCTGGCCCTGGGCTTGGAGCTGGAGAAACAAGGCTGAGTCTCATAGGCTGCCTCTGCCCCCCAGAACTCGGGAACCTCAGGAGGGAATTGAGTCAGCATTTCTGGCTTTGGAACCTCCATCTTGACCCTGCTGCCCAACAGTGATTCCACTTTGGCACCCTAGGAGAAGGGCACTGTTGTGGAAGCTCAGAGAGGTTGGATCACTTATCCAAGGCCACACAGCAGCAGAGGAGTTAAAGCCTGGGACTCCAATCCCAGTCTACTGCCACTTAGATACGCAATCTCTGTTTCTCTCCTGCCTCTGTCCAGTGTCTGTGCCCATCAATTCTGTGCTCCTGTTCATCATGGGGACAGTATGTCTTGTGCCGCTGCTCAGCAGCCCGGGCCCTGTGGCTGTGCCCAGCGAAGTCTTCCGGGGGCGGACGCTCCTGTCTGTGGAGCTGGGCAGTAAGGGGAGGTGCGGCTCACCCCAAGGCCCTCCCTGCCAGGTCAGGTTCACGTTGGTGGTAAGTGGGGCGATGGCGCGGGTCGGGGCCTCTCTGCGCCTGGCACTCCCGGCCCTGAGTGCCCTTCTGTCCCTCCAGCCCTTCACGAAGCAGGAGATCATTGGCTTCGTCATCGGCTCCATCTCCAGCGTGCTGTACCTGCTGTCCCGGCTGCCGCAGATCCGCACCAATGTGAGCCTTGAGCCTGCGTGTGTGCGTGGGGGGTGGAGGGGGGAGCCCTTCCGCTCCGGCCCTCCAGGTTAAGGATGGCGTGCGGTGGGAGGTTTCCTTCAGTAGCTCTGGACCCAGGCTGTCACTGGGTGACAGTTGCTGCCTCTAGGAATGACCCGGTGGCGCCTGCCAGCCAGGCTCGGAGTCAGAGGTCAGAGGTCAGGGCAGCTGAGGAGAGAGTGGAGAGCAGGGATGTGGCGTGCAGGGCACCGGGGGTCTGTGTGGAGAGCTGGCACGTGGGCCCTGCAGGCTGCTGCTAGGAGAAGGGTTTGCGGTGGGGGTGGGGAGCCGGGCCCTGGATGGGATTGGAGGGTGCCAGGCAGGTGACGGCACATGTAACACCGCCAGTCACACACGGGGGTAACCGGAGTGATGAGAGCCTTGTGTGTGGGGGAGGGAGTCTCACTAGATCATCTAGCCCAGGTTAGTCCAGGCCAGTTTCAAACTCTCGATCCTCTTGACTCTGCCCGCCCGCCCTCTCGGAGTGCTGAGGTCGCAGATGAGCGCTCTCAGTCTCTGACCACACCCCTCCCCCCCCCCCCGCAGTTCATACGCAAGTCCACCCAGGGGATCTCATACTTGCTGTTCGCGTTGGTGATGCTGGGGAACACGCTGTACGGGCTGAGTGTGCTGCTCAAGAACCCCGAGGCGGGGGAGAGTGAGGGCAGCTACCTGCTGCACCATCTGCCCTGGCTCGTGGGCAGCCTGGGCGTGCTGCTGCTGGACACCATCGTATCCTCCACAGTGGGCCGCGAGGACCAGCAGATGGGCAGCCTCTGCCTGTAGAGCTTCAGTGTCCATCTACTCATCCAGCCTCTCATCCATCCAGCCAGCCAGCCAGCCATCCATCCATCCATCCACCCATCCATCCATCCATCCATCCATCCACCCATCCATCCATCCA